AACAGATGTGGTAGTCATCCGGCCGGTGCGCCCTGTGGCGGCGAAATGGTCCGCTTCGCAGTTACTGCGTATACCACAATGGCTGGGTACCCAGACAAATGAGGTGTTCGGCGGTGCGGCCTTTTGTATTCCTTGGATCCAGGGATGTTTTGATGTTGCTGAATTCAAGGCATATAAAACGCTGGCAGAATCTGTTAGAACCCAAATGGGTTTATCGGAGGGCGTAGTGATGACTAAGTAGTTGGCCGCGGCCTCCGCCGACTAGACGGAGCATTGATCGGGAAGTCGAAAGAATAAACTGTTGAACGTATCTGCTATTCCGTATCCTACTTTTCCCGCAGCCTTGGAGCCGTCCGTGAAGCGGTGTTGAAAATTGGCATACTTAGTTCTGAGTAGCTCCGCTAGGTGGCTGTTCATAGCGTGAGAGTTGTTCCCTGCCCTTAAGCGCTTGGCAATCGAAAGGTCAACGTGTAGGGTTGGCTCTGTCCATCCTCTGGCTCCGATCCAGTGTAACCTGGACACGGGTGGGAGCTCCTGATGGACCAGGCTTCGTAGGGCTCTACCCCTCTCTGATGAGAAAGATGTTCTGCAGCTCAGCGTTTCGGCGATTTGATATTAGAACAGTACATCAAGTTCAACGCATGCCGATCTAGCGGGTGTAGAGGGCAGAAGACCTGCGACGATGCGGATGGCCTGGTTGTAGGTTGGGGCTAGACGCGTGGTTAGAGAGGGGCAGGTTAGTTCAATGCTATAAAATAGTCTACTGTTTACGGTGGCCTTGGCTACTTTTAGTAGGATCTCTCTGTTGCTGCTGCGGTGTGGTTTTGAGAGTGTTCGCAGGAGGTTTAGTCGCGTACGGCAATTGGCTTTAGTGTCAGTAAAGTGTGCGTCGAATCTCAGCTCCCGGTCCAGGCGCACTCCGAAAACCTGGATGGTCTTTTTGTTGGGTATCGGAATGTTGTTCGCTAAGATGTTAGTTGGTAGCGGCCGATGGCGGGAGCGGCTTAGATGGTAAACCACACTCTTTTCTGGGGACAATACGAAGCCGGTCTTGGAGGTCCATCTTGAAATGGCTGATACAGCAGCTTGCAATTTTCTTATTTTCTTCGCAATGCTTGCGTCCGATAGCCAGCATAACGATGTCGTCTGCATACACAAAGATGAATATTCCTTTTCGGAGGTCTCTAAAAGACACCATTCATTGCAACCGCAATGACGGAGCCTTGTGGGACTCCAGTCTCTTCCGCTCGGGGTGAGGAGCGGTGGTTCTCAATCAGAACCTGAAAAGTTCTGCAACAAAGGAAGTTTTTAACGAAGTGAAGGATATGGCCACTCAGACCCCAGTCAACCAATTTGTTTTATGACCTGAGGGGTCCATGCGCGATTATATGCCTTGGCTAGATCCAAGGCCGCTATGTCGAGGTGGAGTTCAGTGCCGTGGCCGGGTCTGAACGCATGCTGTCGGTGGTCGAGATGGTTGTTGTCCTCAAGGAACCGCATTAGCCGGCGACTTTGCTGGTACAGCACGTCAGTGAAATTGGACGAAAATTTTCCGGTTTTGAAGCAGTTGTCCCTGCTTTCGAATGGGGACTACTAGGCTGTAAGTCCACTCTTTCGGCAGGGTGTTGTCCGACCAAATTTTGTTTATTAGATTTAGCAGTTCGATTTTGGTGTTGGGTGGGAGGTGTTGCAGCATGGGATATCCGATGTCGTCCGGACCAGGAGATTTATTTTTGCTACGGGATAATGCTAGATAAAGTTCTTCGAATCGAAAGGGAGCCTTTATATTGGTTGGCATTGGGTCCTCCGGGATGACAATGTTACGAATACTCTGTGTGGACGCGAGGTTTTTTTGTATGAACGCCGTGTCGTAACGATTAATGGCCGAAAGTGAGGCGAAGTATCCTGCTAATTCGTTGGCGATGGTTTGCGGGTCTCGTGTGAGCCCGCTTGGGAGGCGAAGGGCCATCCTTCTGGCCTTTCTTTCATTTGAGGGCGTTGACTCGGCTCCACAGTTCTGACACCGCTTGGTTGGGGTTGATCCCCTCCAAAAATTCTTCCCAGCTACTTCTCTTAGCGTCCCTGATGGTTTGCCGGCATTCATTTCGCTTGGAGCGGTAAAGCTCGGTAGCTCGTTCCTTGTCTGGGTGATTCATGGGTAGGCATTTGGCTGCACGTAAGGATTTTCTTCTCGCTTTAATGGCAGACTTTGCTTCCGGACACCACCAGTGTAAGGGTTTCCGGCCGGGGTTTGAACTGGTCTTTGGAATGGAGATTTTTGCGGCCTCAGAAGTGATCTCCATGAGTTCTTAAATGCTTGCCAATCGATGGTCGATGTGTGCCTGAGTCACGGTATCGCTGTAGAGTTTCCAGTTAGCTTGATCGTAGAGCCACCTGGGACGCCTTGAGGTCTCTGGAGGTTCTTCCCCTAACAAGATGATGATAAGATAGTGGTCACTCCCTGCTGGATCATCCAGAGTTTTCCAGAGGAGGTTCCCGGTAATGGCTGGGCTGGCTGCAAAGATGTCGATCGCTGTTTCCCACTGGCCACGGACGCAGGTATTCCATCCATCGTTGAGGGTCACTAAGTCGAGGGACTCGATGAGTTCCGCTACGGTAGCACCACGGGGGTTTGCTTTAGAGCTCCCTCAAGATGGGTGGTGGGTGGTCGCCGAGGAGTATAAGAGGGCCATCAATTGGGGCCAAAACTCGTTGAAGTTTGTGTAGTAGGTCCGGGATTTTCCCGTTTGGTAGGTAGAGGTTGATTATTGAGACCGGGAATGGGGATTCCACTTTGACTCCTACGATTGGGAGGTCGGTATTAAGGTCGATAGGAATGAAAGGAATGCCATCAACAATTCCGAGGGCAACCGAGTGATAAATATTGCTATTGTGCGGTCTAGCTGCTTTATGTTGACTCTGTAGGTCTCCTGGAGAACCAGAATGCTGGGCGAGATATTATGAACCAGAACTTTTAATTCCCCAAGATTGCTGTTGCGTTTGTCTGGTGTGGAGCCGTTTGGAGCTGACAGAATTGGAACATATCGAGGTTGGAGAGCTAGGGATGGACTCCAGCAATTCATAAACGGCAGAAGTTGTCAGGATTGATTCCGCTTCCGCAATATAGGGTATATGCTCCAACTATGCTCACACGTTTCCACTATATCGCATCACAAAAATACATATGGGTATTAGGCCTATTCTGCGCGGCGTGTGAGGTGAGGTGACAGTGAAGTGATGATGAAGTGACAATTGTCACCTCGGGTGAGGTGACTCTCCATTTGATTTTCACGGAGAGTCACCTCACCCGAGGTGACAATTGTCACTTCACCATCACTTCACTGTCACCTCACCTCACACGCCGCGCAGAATAGGCCTATATGTCACAATAGAAGCACGCCACAGTGGAAATCCCGAGCCATAGTTCAAACACTTATCCCAAATCAAAATAAAGAACATATTAGATTAGTTACAAAACCATGTACAAAAATGGTGTTTAACATTGTTCCCTGCGTAATACTTCAATGAAAACAACAATGAAAGCTTGTCACGCAAATAGAAGGAGCACTGTTGGGCACTTTCTGAAATATTTTAACAGTATAATTTCCTTGCAAACTCAAAGAATTCTGTGTAAAAATAAATAAAATAAGAGTGATTTGCGGTAAAACCCGCCAGTATCGCACCCAACGTCAGTGCCTATACGTAAGCGTACTACGACGCGGCTCTCAAACAAAGGAGTAACAAGTGTGATACTATCACTACCAGACTAGATTTTTGGTTCTCTCATGCAGTGGTTCATCAGAGAGGGGAAGCTGAGCTTATTGTCAGTGCGAACCTCAACCCGAGCCAGGTTACAAAACCAAACGTTAAAGGCTGGCGCACAATACATAAGTTTCCGGGTTTTTTGACTCCAACACTCCTCTATAAAGCATGAAATTAAGCCCGCCCACCAGCAGCAAGGTGTGAAAACTAGCCAAAGGGAGGGAAAAATCGAAAAGCTTTATTCTGCAATTTAAACTATAGAAAACTGAAAAAAAGTTGTTCCAATCGAGCAAAGCAGTGCATTTTGACGGTTCGATTGGAACAACAGACAGACGTTCATACGTTTACTTAGTGCACTTTACTGTACTGTTTTTGTCAAAACTGAGTTTTTCAATGCAAATGGTAGATAATCACCCATATTTTCACAATACTGGATGAACTCAACAACTTTGTTCTGAAAAGTTTGAGAAGACAGTCAAATTAGTTGTCCCATCACATAAGAAGCAACGGTACGAAGCTAACTTAAAACGCGATTTTCTCGGCTTGCTGATTTTCGCTATGGGACGGACATGCGAATAGCGGCAGTACAGTGCTGTAACAAGTTGTATTGGCTATCAAAAGCAACAACGAACGCACCGAGAAATGAGAATCGATCATCGCGGTTACGTCCTTATGCTCACTGTCGAAATTATTATGAAACTCAATATTTTATAATTATTAATTCATTTTTGAAACAAACCTCTAATCTAGTAAAGTTCAATCTTTTATGTACACTAATTTCCTTAATACTTTAAGAAATTTACGAATTTCATTTAAAGAGACTAAAAATTCCTGATTAGAAAAAAAATCGGGAATATGGAAATTCCGGGCTTCCTGATTTTTATTATTATTTCCATTGCATCAACATCACGATATCTGTCAAGACGTGGTACCTACTTCAAAAAAGTTGGAAACCACTGGACGAATTTTTTACAAAAAATACTTTCTTTTTCGTTTTTCATGTATATTTTCATCCGGATTAATGACCGTCCTTGGTCTTCCAAGACGATAAACTGCGATACATGCAAGACAATCACGAAAATTATCGGTATCGATTTTTTTTTTCTTCAGATGTCACGATTAGAAACATTAGTCCCCGTCTCTTCCAATGTAGAAGCAAGGCACACAATTTATGTAGGCATTGTATGACAGACCAAAACAAAACCATTTCCACCCGATCATAAGAATGCTGTACTTACCAACAGAAGCGTTGGTTCTAATCCTGTCACTCGATGTTGTTGCTGATTGCCGGAACCTGCTTGTCGGTGACCGCAAATGCCCATTCAGCGTGTTGTAAGCGCCACAATCTACACCTATAGCACAGCGTAAACTCGCTATTCCAGCCCTCCTTCGCTTCCACCGGAGATATTCCTCCTACCTTTCTTGTCGCCTTTTTGCGTACAAAATTGCGAACGTAAATTATGTAACCGCGGGCTCAATTTCTTTCGGACAAACACGTTCCCTTCGAGGACGGTCACTTCCAGCGTAGAATTACGCACCGAAATTCTAGATCTGGCACCGATTTTTACCAGTATTTGAACTACAAAAATTCACGCGAATAAAAGAAGTTTGCTCCACTGTATGTTGGATGATGGTGTCGAAAAATTATTATTCTCTTCTCACTCGTAGTCACCTTTCTGTCTTGCTTCCTCCTGTGGAGACCAGGCTGCAGCATAAAATACATGACGGATTCGTTTGACATCGGGAGGCGCATTTGTTGTCTCTCTCCTTTTATCTTTGACGTGTTTTTGTTCCCATCAAAATGACAGTCTCCGAACTGATTGCAGATCTCTCTATAGCAGTTTCCGCGAGGTAATTTGTGGATAATATATTATATATGATCCACAAACTACCTCGCGGAAACTGCTATAGAGGGATGTCACTAAAAAGATTTTCAGATCTAAATAGATTAAAAGTTACGCTAAATCACAACTCTCCTTATCGACACATAGCTTGGTATAAAGAGAGAGAATGCGAACTTACACGGATAGAAATATCCTTATACCTTTTGGCAAATTTCTATTGCTTATTATTCATAAAATGTATAAGTCAACTAATAAGCAGTCGCCTTGCAAAAAGTTAATTAAGATCATGTGTCAAATGAAATGTATAAGCGGTCACACATACCTTTTTAGCATTCTTATAGGACCCATGAGATTTGTCTTATGGAATGTATAAGGCTAATGTTTTGGCAAAAATGTATAAGTGAAATACATGAATAAGATAATTGATTTTCGTTTCGTGTAGTATAACAATCGTTTATGCAGATGTCTCTTCCACAGCACAATATATCGCCATCGTCATTTGCATAATTTGAGATTAACCACAGATAACAGACGTCCAACTTCCACCAGAAACTTGTGTAAAGATAAGTGGGAACGTCGCCGTTACATTGCGCTAGCATCTCCTCATTTTCTCTATAAATTTTCCACTTTCGACCAATTTGGCGCTAGTATCGATAAATTTTCGGTTGAAAATTACCACTTGGCGCTACCAGCACTTAGTGTCTAGTGTAAGTTGTGCAACGCCAGCGCCATCATGTTGTCAAAGAGGGTTTTTTAATTGGGGAAGTTTCCTTTGGTGGCGCTTAAGTCGAATAGAAATTTTTACACAAGTTTTTACAGAAATTTAGTTCGAGCTGAACAATGAAAACTAGAAATAACTAGAAAATTTATTTGGATGATCCTGAAAAGAAACATTTTACTATTTTAGGGAATTGATTAACCGCAACCAGGTTCCAGGGCTTATGTGTATCTTTACATTTTAAAAGATGCACAGTTGTGATATAGCGGACCAAAAGCACAGAGAACAGACGTCCAAGCTCGGTCAGAAACTTGTGTAAAGTTAAGTGGAAACGTCGCCGTTACGTAGCGCTAGCATCTCCTGATTTCCTCTATAAATTTATCACTTTCGAGCAATTTGGCGCTAGTATCGATAAATTATCTGTTGAAAATTGCCACTTGCTGCTACCAGTACTTAGTGTCTAGTGTAAGTTTTGCAACGCCAGCGCCATCATGTTGTCAAAGAGGGTTTTTAAGTGGGGAAGTCGCCGTTAGTGGCGCTTAAGTCAAATAGGAATCTTTACACAAGTTTTTAGAGAAATTTTGTTCGAGCCTCAATGTCTGTTCTCTGTGCCAAAAGTGTGTTGGAATTTAACTAATAGCCAAAATTAAATAATTGTGTAGTTTAGAATTATGATATAAACTATGAATTGTTTTTCTAAATATTAATTATGATTTGAGTAGTAGCTATACTGAAGATACGAGAGATGTCGCCCCTTCAGTGGTAGGAAAATCATTTTTGCAGTATGGAGAATATCAGAAAATCCACGATGACTAAAATGCTTTCACAGAAGGAAACAAATAAATGAGTGTTAACCTTATCACCACACGGAGAACAAATTCGTTAAGTTAAGATAACAATCCTAATAGTTACTTTCATTTCTTTTATATTTTTCCATTATTGTTGTTTGAAAGAAACCTATAGTTATTCCAACATTAATTTGACCATCAACTCAATCATATCTACCTAATAGATTCAACTGTTCATCTTATACGCCTTTTAATGCACCACCAATGTAGAGTGCGCCACGCGAGTTCGAGAAGAAACGTCAACCAAACCGTTTGTTTACATCAGAATAACTATTTTTAACAACGCAAATTAAAGCATTTTCATTCAACATCTTGCCAATTTCTATCGATAATTGTCTTATTGTACGATTTTCCACAGATCTGAACTGATTTGTACCTTAACTATTCACACACAAGAAATCCGGAAGATCATAACCACTAAGGAACTTTTCTAATTTTCCATTTTTCTCAACAAAAATATTCCTGAACACCAGCAGGATCTTTGCAAAAACGTTACAGAATTAAATTTTTCAACTGTAGATTAAGTTTTCGAGCATCTCAGATGAATTAATTTATCAGGAAAAGTAAAAAAGTGTTCCGCTTCCTATTGGCGTCTTGCAGTGAAACTTTTCCAAGCTTTCGCCACCTACATTTCGAAGTGAGAACTACTGGAAGGAGGATAGTTTCCACATTTTCCAAGTAAAACAGACGATTTTTGGGGCAAATCGGTCCATAAAGAAAAACTAATAATTTCTCGTGGAAACTTTTGCTTGAATCGGGTAAGAAAACGTTTTTGAAAACTAATTGTTATTATTTCGGTATGGATCGGAGATGTTTTCATGGAAAATTATGCATAACAAGTTTGCACCCACAGGGAGAGGTTACCTCCTGCGCAGTTGCATTTTTCGGAAAAATGGTGAATATGTGCGATTTTCATTATGATGAAAGTGGAAATTAAGTGAATTTACTTAGGAAAGGTTGTATCATGCTGGTGGTCATGGAGAATTGGTTGTATAAGACGCCAATATTCAATAAATGTTCATTTTGGCCTTTTTAGGCAAACATATTGATACTCACAATTATTTATGGAAAACGCAACGGAACTTGATTTACTCAACACGCACCGTACTATAAAATGGTGCTAGATGATTTTCAAAGTGATAACAAGATGACAAATCATCTTTATTTTGAGTAATTGAGCAATTTACTTCTATTTACATCATATTTACGATGCAGCATTGATGGAGCCGTGAAATGAAATGAATATATCTTATGAAAGTTCATCTGGAAAAGTCAAAGATGCACAGCAGTCTGATCGTAAAAACGTTTTCTTCTTCAATTCGAATGTTATATTGGAAGGATTTTACGCAGACTTGATGAAAATTATGATTTAATGCTAATTTTCACGAATTTTATATGCAGTTTGTCAACATTATCATCATCATGCACTGGCGACATCTGCGTTGAGCTTTTGCGGCAATCTTCCAATGTCTCAAGCAGTGGTGGCACGAGTCCTGGAGTTTAACATTTTTTCCTTAACATTTGATACATTTTGCGATAACCATTGTGACGACACACAAAAACAAACTGGCAAGCGGCAAAAATGTCATGACATTTCTAAACTGTTTTCTGCCAGCGACAGAACATTTTCGCACAAAGAAGCAGACAAGACCGGCGGCGCGCGCGACATAAATTTATGTCGTGTAGAATTTTGCTGATTTCTGGTTAATTACTGCATTTATTTGATGTTTATTGCATGGAATTAAAAGATAAGAATGAAGACTGACCACTCATAAGCATTGATGTTAAAATTATGCGTAAATAAGGGAGTTGGTAATTTACTGTCACACGCATGCCTGCAGCTAAAATTTCATTACAATAAACTGTTTGGAAAAATCAGGCTGCGAGATTTTATTTATTCTCTATCTCCGCTGTTCGCTTGGAATGTAGTTATACACGGTCGCCCGTGTGCTGGCTGTTTTGTTTCGCTCTGGACGATGGTTTTTCAAAAAATGTACTGTTGCCACCTCTGGTCTCAAGGCAAAAATTTCTGCTCACAACACTCTTTTTGACGTTCTCTTATTTACCACCAGAGGTTGAATCGATCGTCTAGTTCCCATTAAAAAGGCCTATACCACAGAGAACAGACGTCCAAGCTCGGTCAGAAACTTGTGTAAAGTTAAGTGGACACGTCGCCGTTACGTAGCGCTAGCATCTCCTGATTTCCTCTATAAATTTATCACTTTCGAGCAATTTGGCGCTAGTATCGATAAATTATCTGTTTAAAATTGCCACTTGGCGCTACCAGCACTTAGTGTCTAGTGTAAGTTTTGCAACGCCAGCGCCATCATGTTGTCAAGTTTAGTCAAGGGTTTTTAAGTGGGGAAGTCGCCGCTAGTTGCGCTTAAGTCAAATAGGAATCTTTACACAAGTTTTTAGAGAAATTTTGTTCGAGCCTCAACGTCTGTTCTCTGTGATATAGCCATGCTAGAGTAATAGAACATCATTTTATTTTCATAAAAACGGAACCATCATAACAACTTATCAGGAAAGCAATTTTGGATATGGGATCTCGGAGAAGAAGAAAATTCGAAGACCATGATCCACTCACGTTCTGGAACAATCACCACGAAGAGCGTCCACAAGAGAGTAGTAGTAGTGGCAGAATTTTGAAAACGGCACTCAAGTACAGAATATCAGAACCCAAGAAAATTTGTAAGACCGTCATATACCTGGAAAACCTGTATTCGACAGAACGTGGAGAGGAGCAAAATTCCCATTGAAGTATGGCTGGATATAGCCGACGACAACGAAGCATTTCCCTAACGGCGCCGGTGGTGTAGTGGTAAGCGTGATTACCTCTCACCCCAGCAGGCCTGGGTTCAATCCCAGTCGGCGCCGCCGGGATGTTCTGAGGCATAACAACTCTGATCACGCCTTCCTTCGGATGGGAAGTAAAGCCTTTGGTCCCCGGTTCATGAGTTGATGGGTCGATAGGTAGGGTCCAGGTGTGGGAGCTGCCTTCCTGGCACGTCGGTAGCATTGGTGCTCAGCACGGAAAACAAGATCGACGGAAAAAACAAACCAAAGGAAAAAAAAAAAAAACGAAGCATTTCCCTTTGAGCGGCAGATGCCGCGATTGTACCTGTCTCATAGCGTTCGTATGATAAAATGAAAGAGTTGCCAGTCTTCTTGATATGAAGTCTTCGATATAGCACAAGAATGGAGCAAGTTCAAAAAAAAACCACTAAAATCTGTATAGTAGCATGATGGAGTCGGAATTTGAGACTAGCAGCGACTCTGACTGGGATAGTGTAACAGAAGACCTAGTTCCTTCAGACTTCTCCGGTTTCAGTGGTGAGGACTCCGTCATGGAGGAACCGAGTCTGGCGAAGAACTCGGTTCGAGGCAACGACAATAACAACTCACAAAGCACCCTCAGTCAACCGATGATTTTACAACACAAGTAAGCCCAGAATTTCATAGGTAAGTTCACACAATCGTTATATTAACATGCTACCCCAATGGATCCCTATTGAAATGTGTTAGCAGTGCCTTTTTAACCACCATTGGACCACATCTGGTGTTCGTGTAGCGGATCTATTGGACAGAGCAGGCGCAGACAACTGAGCCCCCCAATTAGTTGTTAATCGAATAATCAAAAAAATAGAACATCCCCATAAAAAATTTGACAGATGGGGAATTTCACTGTCGACCGGCGAAATCGGTTGTTTACAAAAAAGGCCTATTAATAAACCGACAACGTCGGGATTAGTACACTAGTTATTATTGTCAACATATTCGTTAATGTATTAAATCGAATACCGCCGGGACCGACAGCCATAGATTTTATCTATTGTAAAATCCGGCAATTGTATGTTTTTTAATCGGTGTTTATTTTAGTGTACATATTAATATACAGACGATGTCGATTTAGCTAGTGGTTATAAAATAGTGGCAGTTAGACTAAGTGAGTGCAACCATAGAGGTAACTCTAAGACGAGCTCTAAGACCACTGGGTCCCGAAGAAAATCATTATTATTTTTGGCTCACTCAGTACCAGAACAACGGTCCCAAGCAGTCCCAAGCTATTTCACTCACCCCTGCATGTTCTGCATGAATCCACACACCCCTGATGTTATCTGTCAAACTTTCATAGCGAATCAAAACAAACATAGTGTAGTAATAGAATTTCAACTAGAATAGGGTACGTTAATCGTTTGCTTGGGACCAATAGGCTACTAAAGTGGTGAGCCAATTTAAAATCGTTAGTTTCGTATTGATTGTTGGTGCAACTTTATTATTAAATATCATTACAACCTGGTAAGTTGGTATTAATAGTTTTGTTTTTTTTTTTGAAATCTTACAATGGCAAGAATGTACTGGAGTACTTGGCGTAATAATTATGTTCTCTGAGCACAACGATATTTTTTTTCGATCCCATTTACTTCCATCTCAATTTTTAATCTTGATTGAAGCAAAATGATCAGTTCACTGTTTGACACAAAACTAACAAACTGACAGCTCGTTCCCATATTAAGTACCATCGAGGAACGCTAAGATGGTTATTTTTGCTAATGTAATCATACTTATTTAAAGTAGTTCCAGTGCTTCAAAATTGATGAAATTTTGAATTTCGATTCCATTTGTAATGCAGATTACGAACATGCAATTACCCCAATACCCCTAAAGAATCCAATTTAATTACCCGATTAATTAGTGTATTTCATCTGGTTTCATCAATTTCATAAGCCGATTTAACAGTTGACTTAATCTTTTCCATCATTCAAACAACTGAATGAACCGATTAACCATTCTATTTCATTTGGTTTCATCAATTTCGTATGCTGATTTATTTATCGCCTTAATCTGTTTCCATCGTAGAAACAATTTAATAAACTGATCAATAAGTATATTTCGTCTGGTTTCATAGAATCCCTGCTACAACTCTGTCATCCTACTAACCGTTCAATTTGGTCGCTTCTGGTTGACTGATTTCCTATGTTTTCGACTACCGATTTAGTGTGCTGACGTGTCGGCAGCCTCCCCTTAAGCAGTCCCATAAGAGTCGATGCAACAATTTATAAATACGTCGGTTTCATAGTCGGTCGATCTTACCGACGTGAACCGATTTAGTCGAAGGGAAAATCGGGAGGATTTTTTATGGGGATCTCTGATTTTGGTGTGATTGTTTTGATAAAAAAAAGCGCGCAAAATTTCATCTGTACCGAGGGGGCAGCAAAATCACAAAATTACCTTGCATACTGGGGGTATTAATTGGATGAAAGGGACCGTGAAAGAGGACACTAAAATTGAAAGTTTTTCTTCCGACAGTTTCATCTTAGTATTCATCTGTGGTACTAACAACTATGATACTTTTAAATTGACCGTTAAATGCTTGTTCGATGAAAAACTTGCGAGTGTTATGTCTGTTTGTCTGTGACGAAACTAACGATTTTAAATTGGCTCACTACTTGACTAGCCTATTGGTCCCAAGCAAACGATTAACGTATCCCATTCTAGTCGGAATTCTAGTACTACACTATGTTTGTTTTGATTCTCTATGAAAGTTTGACAGATAAAATGAGGGGTTAGTGGATTTTCCTATATTTTGAGGGGTGAACCGATTAGCTTGGGACCGAAGAGAGTACCAGAGCTGAGCCAAAAAGTTGAGCACGTTGCTTCGGGACCTTCTAGTCTTAGAGTTACCTCTATGATATTGCATTTTAATTAAATACTGCATTTCCAGATTTCGATTCCAATATTAAAGTTTAAAGTGTAAGCACGCATCTTAATGATTCTGTACTAGTAATCATACTTCAAAATATTTTGCTATTAATAATGAAAACTGGATAAAACTGGATGCATTCAACACTGGAAGAATTCAAGCTTTAACTGTTTGGCTGGATGCGCCCTGAAACACTGCTTTGTACATCATAATACACGATAATAATAAAATCGTGATAATTTTTCCTGTTGTAACAGCCCTGCATCTATGCTCTATCATCCACCCAGTTACCGGTATCGGGAGGAACGCGATACTTTTCTGCAATTATTGCAACGTTGCACTTTGTTTCCGTTGTCGACTGCCACAACAGTTGTTGTGCTGTGTCCCAATGATTGAGGTTTATTTGGGTTACCTACCTCCATTACTGTTGGCCCACTATCGCCTTTTTTGTGCTGGGCATTTTGCAGAGTATGCACATTTGGCAGCTTCATGCAGCCTCTTGCAAAGCGATCCTCTCCCCCACATCATCTGCACAGATCAGATCTATCTGGACCTTTGCAGTTTTTTGCCTGGTGACCAAAGTCCAGCCTCTCCAGTTGCTTGGTAGCCCGAGGAGTTGTTGCGGGTACCCCCGGGGAAGCGACCAGTTCTCGACTTTGGCTAAAAGCCATCATCATATGACGCAACAAATCACATGAGAATTTAAAATCAACATTTCTGGAGATTATATGTGTTACCAGCGGTCACATTACTACATCTCGGGAGCCCCTCAGGAAGTGGCCAAAATTTGTAATGATTCAAAACTAATCTTGCGACGCATCATACTGCATGAAATTTCAATAACAATAATATTATTAGTTATTAGTGGCCATAATGCGACGTAGCCTAAAGGCTCATAAAATCACATCAAATTTCCAGTGTATGATCATTTGCGGTCAATTTGAGCGCAAAAAGTCACATTACGCACATCCGGCCGCGACCCATTGTGTAGTGTATGCGGTGATTAGAAAGCTCTCAATTAACTATAGATGTTGAGAGTAGCAAATTTTATACGGAATGTATTCAGTAAACAGACGTGACGTTTCAATCAACTAATGTAATGTAATTGCGAAACTGCTAGGAAAATTATGCCAACTCTATTGGGAAAACTATGGATATGGATACAATTGCTAACACATATGTACTAGCGAAAAAATGTTAGATAATTGTGCCGAATCGTTGTCCCTGATCGATAAATATCATGAATCGTCAGTTTTGGATGTTTTACGAATCACATGCTACTGCTATCGTTTCTACAGCTTAATAGTTGTAATGACAGTTTTGCACATATTGATTGATACCTCCTATGGAAAGGAACGTATTTAGCATATCATTAGTACTATGGCAGCATATCATTATGAAAGTACACGCCCCACATACATCATTGAACATGCTAAAAACCAATCAGTATAAATAGAGGGACTTGTCTGCATCGCATCATTTCATCATACAGTATTCTAAGTTCTACGTCAGTATGTTTGGAAAGCATTCGGCATTATTGATTGTGATACAGTTGCTAAAGTGCATTCATGGTCTGGTAAGCCCAAACCATTCAGTTTGTGTGATGATCTGTGATACTGATTCAAAGTGCGTTTGTCCCCTTAATAATTGTAGCGCGTGAATTTGACCACGTTTGGCAACTGTCAGGATGTGAGCTTGAACTACGACAAGGTTCCTATAGCATTGACAAAGGTGTCATACGACCGGGACGCTGATGGCGTTTGCAACACGTTGCATGCTGAGTACGAAGTCAGAAAGACCACGGAAGATATCGCATGGGAATTGATATTAACTAGTTACAAGTGTCCCCTGGGCAGTACGGCGATATGCCTCGATAATCCGAAGGAGTACATCGAACCTATGCACTGCGAACGGTTCCATTCCGACGACAGTGGTCCATGGTTCATGTTGGCCAGTGCCATGACCAACGGCGACAAATGTGGAAGGCATGAGGTAATTTAGCTATAGATAATATTAAGTAAAAGGATAGTGGGTAATTCATACATGGTGAGATATCCAGATCCGCGTTTTCAGGCCGCTAAGTCAGACAATTCATGAATGAAGTCTAAATACTACATTGTCACACTCTCACAGGGCGTTTTCAACTTGGATGCGGCTGTCATGAAAATAAAGTACCTCCACAGCTACACCGACCTGGGCAAAGGTACTTACCGAGTGCGCATGCTCTTCCATATTCCTGGTACTGATTTGGCGGAGAGAAACGTGAAGGGATGCTGCGAATTGGATTTTGACGTCATCGATGAATGATTTGTCGGAATTTGTCACCCCTCGTGACTGGCATGACACTTGGCGATCGTTCAAATGGACTCCGTAGTAGATCAGTATTGCAGTTACACCCTTAGTTAGTTAATATTAGTTTATGCAATAAAGTGAAAGTATCCTACAGCAGCGACGAAATACGATACTGAAACATTTTAAATTGTGTAATATTTCGTACAGTTACTTACAATGGGGTAGGGGCCGGTTGAGATTTTCTAACAATTTTATACCGTCACTATGCGAAAACACTAAACATATGAAAATACAACATTTTACTAGATGTTTCTGATTCAACTCATAAATGAACTTTGACAGGAGGCGGTTACCTAACGGCTGTTAGGGGCTGTTCATAAACTACGTAGAAAGTTGGGGGGGCAATTATGGCCCTTACAAATTTTAAAAATTTAGTATGAACTATTGCCTACGCAGGGGGTCACGAATCCCAAAAAACTGTCTACGTAGTTAATGAACAGCCCCTTAGAAGCAACATCAATATCATCAAATTCTCCTGTCATTTCGTAAAATGGACTTTTGGTCATTGTACTCCCAAATCATGATTCAACGGATTTATTAACATTTTGAAATATGTATTAGTAAGATTCGAGGGAGGGGAGGGGTCTAGTAATCACTCCTTGGTAGAAACATTAATTTGAAAAGTTTCGGAGCTTGACTCAAAATAAATGATTGCAGATATTGAACCTCATTAGACTCCTGTGCTAAAAATAAGTAATAGGGAAAATGGCTATAATGTTGGCCTATGGATCTAAGATTGGGCCCATCGCTAAGAATTTGCTATCTGAATTTATGTATGGGCCCAAATTAGGGGCATTTAGGCCAACATTACATCCATTTCTCCTATTTAAGCACAATACCAAATATATCATATTAACAATATGATCCATTCATGCCTTTTCCAAATATTGCAATGGTGACCCGCAAAATATTACTTCACGCCCCATCTAGCGTTGAAAAAGGTCAGCAACAATCATTCAATTACAATCGAGGGGTGCGAATATAGCAATTATTACAAAAGTAAGAGTCACATTATTTTCATTAATTACATTGTGTATATTACTTTAAAATTTGTCTGACATGTCACTTCTTTTTCTTCTTCTTCGCATTTCAAGCTTATTGCATATCGCATATTAGCTTATTGGCAAATCAAAGTTGGCACGCGTGGAGAATAGAAGAACTATGAAAGTGATGATGGTTTCAAAATTTTCCACGGGGAAGTATACGAGTGCAATCTTAAAATGCTTTTTGTGAATGGAGCATTTTATTTAAATCTGGTTAGTGCTACGTTAGTAGAAAACTTCAGGACTACTCAATAGACATATAATACAGAAAACATAATTTATTTTCAGATTTTTAGGTGTAAACATAGACTTCTGCTTTTCTACCACTGTAGCAGTAACCAGATTTAAATAAAATGCTCCATTTTCAAAATAAAAGCATTTTAAGATTGCACTCGTATACTTCCCCGTGGAAAATTTTGAAACCATCATCACTTTCATAGTTCTTCTATTCTCCACGAGTGCCAACTTTGATTTGCCAATTGCGTGCTCTCAACTTAGTGTTCTAGATGCACTTCCACAGTTATTAATTGAGAGCTTTCGATGCCTGTACCATTTTTGCATTGGTATAATTGTGTAGCAAGTCCAATCATACTTCTATGCCCAGGGAAGTCGAGAAATTTTCCAACCCGAAAAATTCCTAGACCGGACCAGGAATTGAACCCAGCCACCTCCAGCATGGTCTTGCTTTGTAGCTGCGCCTTTACCGACTGAGCTAAGGGAGCCCCATGCCACTGTTGTGTTGTCATCAAATAAAATAATATGCTGAAATACATTCATTTGAAATATTAAACAAATTTTCATTTGGTTTACCCCTCGTGACGATAAACAAATACATTGGTAGCATTTTTGGCCACAGAGGTGCTTTCATCGCTAAAAAAATGGTTCGCCAGCTAAGCGAAAGAGTGGATCATATTGTTAATATAGTATATTTGACAATACCAAATATGTATATTATATTAACACTATGATCCACTCTTTCGCTTAGCGGGCGAACCGAATTTTTAGCGATGAAACCGCCTCTGTGGTTAAAAAGGTTACCAATGTTTTTGTTCACCTTCACGAGGGGTAAACCAATTGTAATACCAAAATGTTTGTATTTCAACATATTATTTCTTTTGATGACAACAGTAAACGACAGACAAATCTGCTTGTACTGTACAAAATGTAATTGATAAAAATCATTTTACTTTTATTTTTGTAATAACTACTATATTCGCATCCCTCAATTAATTGGATGATTGTTGCTAATCTTTTTCAACGCTAGATGGTGCGTGAAGCAATATTTTTCGGGTCGCCATTGCAGGGCTGGTAGCGATCACTGCTGTAAGAAATAGTGCTTTTAGTGACCATGTTGAATAAATAAGTGACCAAATAGTGACTTATAGTTGTAAACAGAGTGACTAAAAAGTGATCTAAGAGAAGGTGCATCAAATAAATGTTTGATGTTTTAGACTTATTCAAATCTTATCTCATTAACACTTATGTACGATATGAACCTTTAAAGCGAAAGATTCAATAGAAAGTTTATAACCAAACCCACGGTATTAGTCACGGTGTCTACTAACGTAAAAAATCTGGAAAACCGGGAATCCTCCGGAATTTTTTTTGTTTCCTTAAAATACCTGGAAGCCTCGAAGAGTTTAAAAATTACTTAGGATATTTAAAGAAAATAATTAATTTTAAAATACAATCATTTAATTTTTCTCGTTATTTTTATTCACACTTTGAACTTCAAAGATTCACAGTGGATCAATCTTCAGTTACAAATAAATTTAATTAAAATAAAATTTTTGGTTGTGGGACATACATATTTTCAAAAAAAAAAAAAATAATTTCAACTAGTTCTGGACTTAAAAGCTATAATACCATAGAGGTAACTCTAAGACAAGTAGGTCCCAAAGAAACGTGCTCAACTTTTTGGCTCACCTCTGGTACTATCTTCGGTCCCAAGCTTGTCGAATCACCCCTCGAAACATAGGAAAAACCAATAACCCCTCATTTTATCTGTCAAACTTTCATAGCGAATCAAAACAAACATTGCGTAGTACTAGAATTTCGACTAGAATAGGGTACGTTAATCGTTTGCTTGGGACCAATAGGCTACTAAAGTGGTGAGCCAATTTAAAATCGTTAGTTTCGTATTGATTGTTGATAATACTTCAAGATACTTTCAAGTATCTTGAGTCAAATTCCATTCACAGTTTTAAAGACTTGAGGAATTTTATTATAATTTCTAAGGACCTCATTCCAAGGGAGCTTTGGGAAAAAAAAAATCATTCAGAAAAAAAAACATCAAATGCAATCTACTTTGAGGAATTTTGGATTTCATGTGAAGCCTTAGTTTTGAGTAGAATTACAAGAAACCATGAATTGAGTTTAAAAAAAAATAATGAAAAATCTTAGAAATTTCTGAGGAGCATAAAACGCTGGCCAGACTGAGCAGTTATAACATGTTATAACGATTGTCAAATAATTGCAACACAGAAATCACCATCAAGATAGCGCTATAACATGTTATAACTCTGTAGTCTGAACAAGGCATAACTCTTGTGAACGGAAAATTCCAAGGTTATTCTGAGGATAATTTCATAAAGTTTGTGGGAAAAAATCAATCCGGAGCACAAGTCCTTGGGCATTGAAAATACTAAAAGGAGGATTACAATTAAATGTGAGAATAACTCCAGAACATCATCAAAGGAATTTGAAAAAAATAAATTCAGGAGAGTTTGTTAAAAAAATATGAGAAGAAATCTAAGGAATTTCTGAGGAGAGATGTCACTGAATTGGTAGGAGACTTTCAATGTGAATAGAATTCCAAGGGAAGGAGTGAGATTGAAAACGAAATCTGAAATGAATTCAATGAATACTCTGAGAACCTTTTAAAAGGATTTCTAATTGTGGAGAATTTCAAGGAAAATTAAGAGAAAATTTAATTCTGACGATAGCTTCATCGAGATTTTGAGGAAATCTCCGTTGAATATGGAATGGACTATTTTGAGGACTTCAGAACTTGTTGAAAGTTCTCAAATTTTTCCTAAAGTAATGAAACTGCTTTGAAGTTCTTTTGTAGTTTGATAAACTAGGACTTCCTAAAGTTTCCTCAATTTTCTGACGATCATGGATCTCCTTTAAAGGTTTAACAATTCACTTAAGTTCTCTTAACTTCTTTAAAATTTGTGTGACTTTCCTAATGTTGACGGAACTGCTCTGAAGTTCTCTGTTCTTTTTTAAAATTCTCAAAACTTCTGTAAAGTTTTTGCAGTTCTCATGAAGCTTGTTGTGCCGCGCTGAATTTAATTAAATCGTCCTAAAAATGTTTAAGCTTCAGTGAACTTCTGAACTTTTGCGAAGACCTCAAATAACTTATTAACGTCTCTGAAGTTATACGAAAATCTGGGAACTGCTTTAAATTCCCCACTAATTTTCCTAAAATAATTTTCGGAGCATACTAAACTTCTTTCAAATGCTCCACCATTTTACTAATGTTCATAAAATTACCTGAAGTTCGCGGATCTCATATTTAACTCCACACCTCCTGCTGTGAAGTTTCCGAAGCTTTCCTAAATTTCTGGAACTATTGTGCTCTCGCATTTTTTATGGATTTAGATCGAAGTACTTGAAGTACACCCACGCGACACAACAGCAACATCGGGTAGGGGAAATTTTCCCCTTCCTGACGATGCTGTTGGTTTGCGTGGGCGTTCTTCGGGTAGCGAGTAAAGGGCCCACAAACCATTTGTTTACAAATGGCTTTTGCGCCGTTTTCAAATGTTAGCACTGTAATATTCCCTTTTAATTATTTCAACTGCCCTTTGATTCTCTGACCTGTCTTGATGTTCTCGAAGCTTCCATAAAGATCTTAGTTCTATTGAAGATCTCGGTTCTGCACGGAAATAAATAGAATTCCCGTAGACACCTTTAAATTTATCCGAAATTCTCTAAACTTCTGTGAAGTTTCTGAAATATTTCTGAAGTTTTCATAAATTCTCTGAAGGTCTCTGTACTTCCCTGAAATTCGTGGAACATCTTTAGGGTTCTCGGTTTTTCAGATTTTAAACTGCTCCAAAATTCTGAACTATAGTTACGGGAACTGCTCTTAAGATCTGAAATTCCCCAAAGAACTCTAGATCTAGCTTTTTTGAAGGCCTTAGAACTTCTTAAAAATTTGCACAATAACCCTTAAGTTTTCTAAATTTCTCAAGTTCGCTTGACAACTGTGAAGTTATCTGAAATTCTAGGAACTTCATAAAAGTTCCGGATGCTAAAAGAACCGCTTTGAGGTTCTTACAGCTTCCAGTAAGTTTCCCATATTTTCAGCTTATGTTCCTGCAGTTTGTTTATAGAGCTTCACTGAAATTCTCAGCATTTCCTTTCATTCCTCAGAACTTCTCCAAAGTTCCTACAATTGCTGTAAAGTGCAAACATTGAGCAATGTCAAAATTAAAAAAAAATCTCAAAAATTACGTTTTCGTTTTCAGAGTCTTAAACTACGTTAATCATCGCTCGAGTTTCCACTTGCTGCAATTAAGGCCTCCACACGCTTCCGGAATGCACGGCAGGTTCTAATAATGTAGTCTGAATCCATTTCTCTCCAGGTACGGGTCAATGTTTGTCTGAGGCTTGCTGTAGTCGGGTGGCGTTTAGAACAGGCCTTGGCCTTCATGACGCGCCATATTAAGTAATCCAGCGGATTAAGATCGGGGCTGGATGGCGGCGACATATCCTTCGCCCCGAACGGAAGATGTTCCTGCAACCACTTGTGAGTGCGGTTCGAAGTGTGGCACGGAGCCCCATCTTGTTGAAATACATCATTTGGCTTCGGACCGTACTGTTCTTTGATCCACGGAAGAACATACTTACACGTTCTTGTGCTCGTCGGTCACGTCTTTTACCGGAAGAGAACTAATATACCGGTCCGTTCTGGAATTTGATACGGGATCGACGGTAAACATGCTCTCGTCGGTGAACAGGATTACCGGATTTTTTCGCTTAAGGAAGTTCAAGATTTTCTTGCATCGTTCGACTCGTAGCGTAGTTCCCGGATACGTACTCATGTGAATTTTTTTTCCGTGCCCTCGACTTCACCCCGCAATCTTCCTTTACGATATTGCATGAGAATGAGCATGTATGATTGACCGCCCACGGTTGCTACTCTGTTATTGCTAGACCAGCTGTAATTACACAGAGAACCAATAGACGATGCTTGGGACTAGCAATCATCCTTAATGTGTAAAAACTGGTTAGGAATGTGTTGACGTGACACTCGCTTTGATGGAAGCCGAGAACACCTCTGCACTTCCACGAGGAATTACTGGGATATTGAGCAATAGCGAAGACATCATATCAAGAAGACTGGCAACTTTGCCAGAATCCAAGCGACAGATACAACAGCGCTGCGCTTGAGTGAAGGTGGAAGCAACGCATAGAAAAATGAGCAAATACACAAACCGTTCTTCCGAGGATGTAATCTTTGCTATCAAATTCGTTCGAAGCATTTACTTTTGAGCTGCAGATGACGCGTTTGTACTTTTCTCATAGCGTTCATATGAGAAAATGGAAGAGTTGCCAGTCTTATTGATTTGTTATCTTCGGTAATAGGGTTGGGTTTGCAGCAGGGTTCGTTTTGGTAAACGATAAACTGAATTGATGTCCTAACAATCATATAACGCGAAGGAGCTTGGGATTGAACCCACGGTCTTCTGCTCAGTAAGCAAAAACGTTTGCCACTAGGCAGATGAGCTCCTTTTTAATCATCGAGTTGCTGATGTGCCGTAAAGTCACTGATCCCGTGTTCCTTTGCCATTTTCCTTATTGAACGCACTGGATTCACCCGAATTTTCCTTTTGATAGCAGCGATAACCCACGGAACCCGAGCTAACCTCGGACGACCTGTGGCCACCTTCGCGGATAGTTGTCCTTTCTTTTCTCGGTCCACCGGGACACTCCCACGGCGATTGAAATGTCTTTTTACGACATTTGCGCGTGGGACAAATCATGAATACGCTGCCACTTCGTCATGGTGCAACTGTCAAACTAAGTAAATCATTTTCTTTTATACACAGCCTACTACGGTATGAGCTATAGGTTACGTGCATGTAAAGAAAACCAAGACATTGTATGCACAGGTGAAACGGGAACCTTATTTGTACGATGGTGCAAACATGGAATACGAAACTTCAAGATATTGAATATTTTTAGATCTTGGACTTACTTACTTGGAAAACTCAGGTAATTGTATCCAGAAAAAAAGATAGAGAAAGTCGATTAAACATCACAACGCAAAGAATAATCTATCTTGAAATAAATTCACGGTTAAAAAAAGTTGAACGTAGTGACCTATTACAAGAAAAAGTGACTTGGCCTTAAAAAAGAGACTTTATAGTGACTGACTTGAAAAAAGTGACCAAGTCAACAAGAAGTGACTCGCTACCAGCCCTGCCATTGCAATGTATGGAAAAGGCATGAATGGAGCATTCTGTTAATATATTATATTTGAAAATACTGTTTACTGGTACTGTTTTTAAGTCGAATAAGACCTATGTAGGGGAAATGTCTAAGGTGGATCTAAGATTGGGACCATCGCTAAAAATCTGCTATTATTCAATTTTATCCAGATGAACGCGGCATTGGGACGGTACTAATGGATATTTTTGGTCGCTATTAAAAATTTAGTCGATTGCTGAATTTATGTATGGGCCCAAATTAGGGGCATTTAGGTCGACATTATATCCATTTCCCCTATGTGAAAAAATACCGTGCGGTCTAAAATGGAGAAAAATTTCGGGTTTGGATTTTTTATTAATTTGGAGTTTTTGATATTATTTTAACCATAATTTAATTTAGAAGATCCTGGATTTGGAATAAAAGTAAAAAAAAGAAGAAGAAGAGAATGGAATTCTGACAAATGTTTCGATGGAGCTCAATTCTAATGTTAAGGGATTTAAAAGGAATTATAGAACATCTAGATTTTTTTGGGAGAATTAGGAAATATTGAAGAGTATTTCAAGATAAGAGTCCTAGTTCGCGAAGAGTCTTAAGGAAATTCCAAAATTGCAAAGGTACCCAATGGCTTTCGGATATGAGCAGGGCAAGACTACCCATCCGTGGTTCCGACTGCAAAGATCATCTGTAATTACACAAAGATGGCGATTGGGACTAGCGTTCATCCTAAATGTTCACATGATGGTGGTCGCATGTGTTTTGTACAATACCGGTGCCGGCCATGTCGGAATGCAGGTCAATTAGGGAAAGGGGAGGAAATTGTTGGCGTGAAACTAGTTTTATTAGAAGTCGAAAAGTTATCTCGTCGACGCGTCCTGGTAAACTGGGACTTTGATAAATTATGTGGTACCTACCTAGAGAGAAAATATCGATGCGGCCCATCAACTCAGCAATGTAAAGGAACCTGAGATAGAACCCACAATCTTCTGCCCATTGCATTACAACAAACCACTGCGATTGACGATCGGCCAAGCCCGGCACAAAGCTATTCGAATGAAGTGACGTCAGTACCTAATGGCTTTCGGACATGCTAGAAAGAGAACTACATCCAGAGCATTTACACGCTGTGACATTGCAACGTTTTATTACGACGTATTGTTTCTCTAACATTAATATCCCCTCCTGATGTAGTTCAAAAAACTATGTCTTTAGACTGGTGCTGCAAGGATTTGCTTTTGAAAATATATTTAAATAATTGCTAATATTCGTTCCGACACGATATCGATCCGGTGTAGTTACGCTTCCCTAAGGTAGGTTTTCGATCGTTCCAATTGCGAGTTTTCTCGGCGGTTCAGAGTGAATGGAAGGGATCCGCATGAATCGAACGAGAAATGTCAATTCTTAATGTTTGCGATGCGGTTTGATTGAAATGGTTAAAATTTTGAAAAAAAAAGTCGTTGTTTAGTGTTTTGTATGCCATCTAAAGCTGCGTGAGTGGATCTAATCGACTTTACTTCGACATAAACTAATCGACTGTGACAGTTGTTCGAGTAAATATACTTCAACTGAAACCAATAAATAGATTTTAGTACTACTAAAAGAAATCTAGAGAAAGCAGTTAAAAATGAGAACCGTTCTGACTATTTAGATACATTATTTTCCCTTTGTTCAAAACAAGTCGATTTCTTAATTTCACAGATTCTTCGTACGGTTGGGATGGTTAGGTAGATATTGATGACCACTTTGCCTCATTGAGTTTTTTGTTGTTAAATTTTCGTTACACTTAATCATTTGTTTCTTATTTGTACGATTGTTTCGTAACTACTACCTGACTGGTTAACTAAATAGTTTATTGGCAGACTGTTATTGCAAAGTCTCCGGAGCGTCTCATACTGGGGGTGCATATGGACGAATGCTGCTCCAGAAAAAAAAACTTGAACTGTGGTGGAGAGGGTAACGATGCTTTGCTTGTCTGTGGATGACTGTACATTTTCCTACTTAATCTGCAAGTGAAAGTTTTGGTTGTGATAACTTGTACGGATGCCCGGAGACTTCAGTTGTACATAAACCTGATGGTGGAGCGGGTTGATGGTACTTTTTCTTTTGTTTCAAATAAGGCATGGTTATTCTGGCCAAAAGCGACAATTAATTGACAAAAAAAAAACAAACTGAGTTGGAGACTTACCATTGTGTGTTGAAGTTCAATTTGCACCTACAGAAGCATAGAGTGGGGATCCTCTAAGAATTGGCGGAAATACTGCAACCAGCGTGCGCCAACAGCACCATCCACCGTACGGTGGTCACAGCTTAGAGTTACCGAAACGTAATCGCTTTGCTTCCATCTGAAATATGAGTTGGTTTTATTTACAATATGCACGCGTTCGTCTATACTTACCCTTGTTCCGAATCTTTATCAGGTACGATCCGCTTCTGGGTTCCACCAACGGCCAGAATGCAGCTCTGCGGCGGGTTAATAATGGCGCAGAAATGCGTCACACCGAACATGCCGAGATTGGACACGCTGAAGGTGCCGCCCTGGAATTCATGAGGTTGCAACTTGCCATCCCGAGCCTTCGCTGCCAGGCTCTTGACATCCTTGGAAATGTCTGACAATCCCTTCCGGTCGGCACTGAACACGATGGGCGTGATCAGACCACGATCCGTGGAAACTGCTACCGAAACGTCCACTGAATCGAATCTAAAAAACGAGCAACCAAGGATTGCAATCTATCTGGTTTAGCTATTCGATCACTTACTGTCTGATAAAGGTATCCATCCAAGCGGAGTTTGCTTCCGGCACCTTCTTACTGGCCATGGCTGCTGCTTTGATGATGAAGTCATTGATCGACAGCTTGACGCCGTCCTTCTCCAGTTGTTTGTTGAACTTGGTGCGAAGCTTGTTGATGTTGTCCATGTTGACGTCCACCGTGAGATAATAGTGTGGAATGGTGGTCTTCGATTCGAGCAGTCGCTTAGCGATGACGCCACGAATGTTGGACACCGGAATATCAATAAAGGCTGCACCGGACGGAATGCTGGGAGCCCCTGCTGAGGCACGGGCTTCCGGCGCACCGGCTGCCTGCATACCTGCAAGATCCTTAGACGTTAGTGAGCCGAATAAACCGGATCCTCTTCCTGCAAACAAGGAGAGACAATTGCAGACGATGGGTTATTAGCACACTTTCAAACAGGATGGCATGTTATTTTGGATACAAATGACAGCGGATACGTACCGTCCAATCGTAGTCTTTGCTGTTCTGCAAGCTTCTTCGCCATCGGGCTGGCGTACACTCGTGGGCCACGCTGTTCGACGGCAGTCATTGGAGCGGCAGCCGATGATGATGGCGGAGGCGCAGCCGCAACCGGTGGTGGAGTTGATACTGGTGGAGCTGCTGCCGGCGGTGGGGGAGCAGCTGCCGCAGCCTTGGCTGCTGGAGCACCAGTGTCTTTGTAGTCTTTGAAGGCGGCAACGTCTGCCTCGTTCTCGACAATGATACAGACCAGTTTACCGATGGGGACGTCCTTCTGACCGGCTTGGATCAAGATTTTTGCCAGGTAACCCTCCTCTGGAGTTTCGAAGCCCATGGTGGCCTTATCGGTTTCGATTTCGGCGAGGAGATCACCTACGCGGAAGACAAAAGCGAGAGTTTGTGGTAGATAAGGTAATTCGTTCGAGTAACATTGACGCTGCTACGAGCATTCGACGGCGTTATCAGTGATTTGAATCCCTGGTTATATTTGAGACGAGTGTAAGCTGTAACTTGAAATAGCATTGAAATGCTCGAGACGATCGCGTGATTTCTTGTTAATGGACATCGTGTTGTTTATAGTCAACAAAGAACATACTAACCCTCATTCAGCTTGTCGCCTTCCTTCTTCTCCCAGCTGACGATCGTACCCATCTCCATAGTGGGTGAGAGAGCCGGCAGTAGGACCTTGTTGTGGGCTGGGTAGTTGCTGCAGTAGCCACGGACAAATTTCACCTGCCACACCGAGGCCAGTTTGGCACCGTTGGATACACCCGTCCATTTTTGCGAATTCCTAAAATAAGGTAAATTAGAGGCGTTAGAATATGGCACTATAACAAGAAATGCGATTTCATAGGGGCATTATTGCGGGGTCTGGTACATTTGGCATAATTGCTACTACTCGACATATTTTTTAAACCTGGAGTTAATTCACAATCTATGATTATTCCTTCTTTTAATTGAATAATAGCTTCCTACATCAAATCCGACAGATGTCACCCCGCTAGTAGTGACTATGTGACTGGTGAGATTTTCGAAAAATCGTCGATTTCTCTTCAAACCTTGTTTCTAATGGTGAGAAAATTACTCCATTTTGTTCTTTTTAGTACTAGTTACATTATTTAGGAATAATACATCGGACAAATTGCACAATTATTGATATTTTTAATTAAAAGTTAATTTCGTCATACAGGGTGGCAAGTGAATTTCCATTTTGAAACTCCTGGTTTTCCTGGTCAATGATTTAAAAATTTTCTGGTTTTAAAAACCATGTATTTAAAAAACTATTTTTAATAAAAAAAAATAAAGAGAATCCTTGTACCAATGCGGAATGCGGTTTTCACAAACCAAAATAGGTATTAAGGTTCTTTTGAATGCTTGTGAAATCTTTATCTGATTGTTTGCTATAAATAAGCTAGTAGGGAGCTGCGCTACTTCGTCGTATCATGGCGCCTATTTCCGTTCTATGTGCTAAAACTAAATATAACAGCAAAGTGTTTTCACTCATGTTTTTGCAAAAACATCTTTGCTTACAAGATTAATTACGATTGACACTGAAACATTTGCGATAACCCGTAAAATGAGCGATTTTAGGGGTGTATGACGAATAAAAGCTGAGATACGACGGACTAGCGCGGAGCCCTATCTAATGTCTGAAATTTAGAGATCTATAAGCCCCTAAATCTTGAGATTTCTGTTTTTAAAACTGCGATTTGTTTAACTTTATTATTGCGATTTTTAGCCAACGGACTAGTTTATCTCAAGGTAAAATTGCGAAGGTAGTTTATCTCAAGGTAAAATTGCGGTATGAATGAGGAGTCTTTAAACAAACCTTTGCTTCTAACAATTTTACAGATTTCAAGTTTGTTTAAATTTTCCGCAAATTGTCAATGATTAAGGATCTTATTTGACGGAATTTTGATTACAACATGATTTCAAAATCATATTTCCTTTGGTTTGTTTTTTCCGTCGATCTTGTTTTCCGTGCTGAGCACCAATGCTACCGACGTGCCAGGAAGGCAGCTCCCACACCTGGACCCTACCTATCGACCCATCAACTCATGAACCGGGGACCAACGGCTTTACTTCCCATCCGAAGGAAGGCGTGATCAGAGATGTTATGCCTCAGAACATCCCGGCGGCGCCGACTGGGATTGAACCCAGGCCTGCTGGGGTGAGAGGTAATCACGCTTACCACTACACCACCGGCACCGTTTTTCAAAATCATATGATTGAAAGATTTCATAAACAACGCTGGTTTAATAACTCTTATTATTAAAAAGACTGACTGCTGAAGTTCATAGAAACTCCCTAAAGTTCGTAGAACTTCTCTGAAGCGTTAAGGTCTTTCCTGAAGGGTTCATTGAAGTTTGTATTGCCTGAATTTCATGGGACTTTCCCGAAGTTCGAAGGACTTTTTTTAAGATCTTAGGACTTCCCTGAAGTTCGGAGTTTTTTGAAATTCATAGGAATTTCTTAAATATCGTAGAAGTACCACGAAATTCGTAAAAATTCTCAGAAGTTCGTAAGACTTCCTTCAAGTTCGAAGAACTTTCTCGAAGATCTGAGGACTTAACTGAATATATAAGGACCCTAAATTTAGAAGAGCTTCCCTGAAGTTCATAAAGCTTTAAATATCGAAAGGTTTTCCAAAAAATTGTGGGTCTTTCCTTGTTCATTGATGCCGATATCTTGAATATACAGAAAATGATGACTAGAATATGTTCCTTAAACTCCTGGAGTAAAGATAACATTAACCAGTTGTTTTATTTAAATGGTGTTGTACAGTTAAATGTTCTAAATAGTAGCAAAAACACGTTTTCAAAAATGTCCACAGGCAATCAAAAGTTTTAACACACTTTTATGTGGATAGATGAGGGTTACACGCAAAACCCCTCGCTTTGCAAAAAAGTTCAAGGACGTTTACTGCCTGCAAGCTTTATACTGCTCAATTGTGCGCCCTATCTTGGAGTATTCGTCTATCGTCTGGTCTCCTTATTACCAGAATGAAATTCAACGCATCGAAGCTGTTCAGCGAAAATTCGTCCGGTTCGCTCTACGTCATCTTAGGTGGAGAGATCCATTCAACCTGCCCAGTTATGAAAGCCGTTGTCTACTTATAAATCTGGAATTACTAGAAGCAAGACGCAACGTGGCAAAAGCGTGCTTTGTTGGGGATCTTCTGCAAGGCAACATTGACAGTCCTACGCTTCTTAGTCTCTTGGACATCAACACACGTCGTCGCAATCTTCGGTCGCACTCGTTTATCACCGGAGGGATGGCAAGAACTTATTATTGCTTACACGAACCTTTGCGAAGCATGTCCCGTGTATTCAACCGGTGTTATTATGTGTACGATTTCAACGTGTCACGAGCAGGGCTCTACATTTTCGAAGCTCTAAAATGAACTCGTGTTTTGTTTCTCTACTATACATACGTGTTTGACGCTTCATTTCTATAGACCTTTTTGACGTTTAATTGTCTTTCTTTATCTAGCACACAGGGATAAATGGATGGTTTGTTTTCCCACTAATCGGTTTCCCTCTTGCTCGCACTCCTTCAATTTAAATGCTGCATTAGTGTGCGCCGATTAAACGTCAAAAAGCTCTATAACGCCTAGCTAGACTATCAGCAAGAAACAAAAATAAAAAAAGCAGGACGCTTAGAAGGAAAGGCTGGCTGTGGAACTTCTCGTCGTTGCTTTGCTCATCGCTTTCAACGTAACTAACGTCGATTTTCTAGTTAAACGAAACCTCATTATGGCTTTCAATCCCCTTTCACGAACACTCTATCACCGCTCTTTCAATTTGTTTAAAATGCGTTATGTACCGTTTTCGTTCATTTTTTTTAGATAAATATTGGATGGAAGATAAATTAAACATATTACGTGTAATCTTCAAGTGTTTTCACGTGAGAAATGCTTTAAATATGTAATTTCATTTACCGTCATATACGTCATGAAACCTCTGTTGATGTGTTTCATGAAAGAGAAAACTATCAAAGTCGAGCGCTCTTTCGCTCATCCGTTTCACCGAAGCTTGAAAGGAAGATCAATGAAGCGACGGGAGAAAGAGAGACAAGCGATTGAACATTTCTGGATAGAGCTGGAATCAGGGCCTAACAGCTTTTGTAAACAATGACTTCTCTTGATGATTTCTAGAAATTCAAGCCTCGAAAGACTTTCCCTATCCGATGGTTATGTTGTTCTGCGTGGGCATGCCTTGAATTCCTAGAAATCATCGATATAAGTCATTGTTTACAAAAGCTGTTACGCCCTAATTCCAGCTCTATCTAGATTTGTTCGTGCACGCCGACTGAGGTTCTAGAACGCTGCGAAGCTGTTCGACTTGAATAGAAAAAGAAAGCCAGCAGTCTCTTCGTCGCATCGATTTGGTCGATTGAAGCTGATATTGTGACGCCCTGGTCACGAGAAACAAATAAGCGTAGTTTTAAACGAGTTTTATGTTAATTTATGTTATTCGTTAGTTTTGTATTTAGTTGTAGAACAAGTGTCATTGGGGTAAATATTTTACCTGTTGACTGATAAACAATAAACCCCGGCGACCCGACATGCTTAAAATTTGTTTTTCTTGGTACAATATGCATGTTATAAAGTAAGGAACGAAACATTTTGATTTTTTGACCCAATATCACCCACACTTACGGTACCCTATAGAAACCCATTAACATTTTCTAGATTTCTAAGTTTTAAATACTATGCTAACGAATATTGAAAATGTGTTCACACCTGGAATCTTCTCATTTTCTAAAGTCCTACACAAGCATGGGTAAAATCGTTTCATTTTGCATTTACTACTCACTCACACGCATAAAACATCAGAAACGAGTAGTAGCTTGTGCGAGCTACATTGATTTCGGTCTTATTCTCATTGTTTCTATTTTCATCGATGAACGCAAAATTCGCGCATCACCTTTCGAATAGGCCAATCTACATTGATCAACTCTTCATGGACTCTCTTTTTCTTTAATTAGTCGGCTCCAAAAACATGTTCAGCTGTTTTTATCGGCCTTTCTTTTAACAGACTATGTGGAAATATTAGCCTGAATGCAACCAAGTTACTAACGAAAGAGAGAGTCATTGAAGAGAATCGATCTATTTGAAAAAAAAATCTAATGCTTAAATATTCCTTACCAAAATAAAAAATTCAAATTGTATTTTTAGATCCAGTAAATGTCACTTAAATATTACGCAAAAATTACGTGAAAATCCATTCTAATATTAGTAAAAATCATGGCACGTAAACGTAAGATAAACATAATATTTCAGCAAATATCATTTCCAACTTAAGTGGAAATCACACTTCGCTGAATGTATTTACACGATTCCTTATTTTTCAGCTTCAATCGGATTACATTTTTACGACTAAGCAAACCAATTTTGCCAGGTTTTTCTGCAAATGAAATATACGCGCTACCAAATACGGCTGATTCCGAGTTGCCGATAATAGAACAGCTGATTTTGTTTGTCTTGTCCCTCCGTCTCGATGAGTCTCATCATAGCCGGTCGAACTCCAGACGAATCTAGAACCGCACTACTGTTCATACTGGCGACAACGCTCTGATGAGACAACGAAACCCCTCCCCAAGCTCCTCCTGATCCTATACTTCGAAAATGTACCCCTGAACCTCGGGTAAGCCGCGAATATTCGGCCCAACTCCTACTAGACAAATAAATAAGTGAATTGCATTTAGATAATTTTATTAAATTGTGTAGATTCTTTCAAATTATTATCAAATTAATTAGGTAATGTAATTACAATTTCAGCGGTGATGTGAAAAAATCGCAATAAACACGCATGAGGTAACCGGATCGGATACCATAAAATTGATACATGTATGTTCGGTAACGTTTTCATATTTGAATGATATGATTGATTTGATTCCGAGTCGAAGAATGCTTTTTATGCGAGAAAGCGTATTGTTCGCAATTTTCTAAAAACCTGAATTGACATAGAATAAATAAGGATTTTTTTATTGATTTAAATAAATTTGATTTTGATACAATAACAAAATATGATTCGAACTGAAATTTGAACTTAAATTACCAAATCACGTAACTTTTTCGTGCAAAGTTACGCTTCATTAAGAAGAGGGGATAAATCTATAATAGAATCTCGTAGTTCTTATGAGAAAAAAGGGATGGGCGAAAGCTACCTAGTAAGCTACGTAACTCTGACGTGTTTTTTTTTAGTGTAAATCATTACGAGAAAAAAATGTATAATAAACTTATTAAAAAATGGTTTTAAGGGGGTCATACTAAGTTAACTCATTGAAAACCAGTATAAATCGTGAGCCATTAGAGATGGGAAATTTATTTCATCAGCAAAGTTGCTTAGAATTCTATTCATAACTTGTATTACTACTGTTCCTTAAGAATTCTCCTTAGCATTCCCTAATAATAAACTTCCCTTTGTTGTCCAAAAAATTATATTCTCAGTTTTTTTTTATTCTTGACCCCCCCCCCCCCCCCCCTCTCCCCCTGCGTAGACAATTGTCCATACACAATTTTTAAAATTTGTATGGTCCGTGGATTAGCACGAAGGCATCACCTCTTATGAATAATGCCTTAGCAGAGCTACGCTCTAACTTAAGCGACTCTGGATCGCGTGGTAGGTATCTGGTGGTTGCGTCCAAGCACACGATACCAACTCTGACGGGATGTTTTCAAAACAGAAACATATTCTATTTTTACTTCAATTAGAGTAGATAGGTATGCATGACCATGTCTAGCTTTTCTCTTGTGTCGCACTCGAAAGACGCCCGGACTGAGTAAACCCAATTAAAAGCAACTGATTGACAGAGCGAGCAGAAGCTTTCCGAAGATATTAATTAATCTTGGTATGATATACGCGGGATCAATCAACTACATATTATATTCGGCACTTGTTAATTGAACACATGATTGAATACTATATTTATGGGAATTTATTATAATCTTTACTTAATGCAAGTTTCTTATCTACATGTGTGATTAGAACGTCAGTCTGGGGTACAATCGCTTCATCAATGGTCGATCTACAATCAATGCCAGCGAGCAATGACGAAAACAACACAAACAATTACGGCCCCAATCGAATCAATGGTGACGTTACCCCATATTAATACCATCATACCACGTCTGTGCTTCTTCTTCATCGGGCAGCAGCCCGATAGCCACTGGGGAGAGATGATGATTACACAACTCTAACCTCCCATGCATTATGAGATGATGAAAAAAATCCTTTCGGTCAAATTTGCTGAGAAAAAAATCACCTCGAGATCTACTTGCACTTCCAGGTTTCGTACTCTCTTCGAGGTTACATAACAGGCTAGAATAGGTATATTGCATTCCAAAATAAAACGGACTCACTTTTGGACGTTGCACTTCCGAACAGCATCACAGCTCAGAGCTCTGCTGGCAGTTCCCCGTAGAACCTTGCTTGGCCCCTGGAGCAGGAGCTTTTCGTTCCGTACGGCGATGGTTCGCAACATTGCTCGCTTTTTCCACTTCTTTTTGACCAGCGACCTTCAAATCCGACCGGCGACTTGCACGAATCTGGATATGCTGATATGCGTTTGCTGTTGTCGTTGAATCCCACGGCTAGCAGCTGGAGATCTTGAAGGTCTTCGCACTTTTCTTCGGACTTCTTTCCTAGAGAGGCTGGAAGCAAAACACTATCAATCCGCGACGATCGACTACCACCCGTACACGACCTTCTTGCGACGTTTGATAGGTCAATCTATGAAGACACGAGACGGCGACGTTGAAATCCCACCACACAGATGATATTCGCGTATAACTGATGCAAAAACAGGCCCAAACGTCAAGCGATACTGCCGCTGTGTGAGTGTGTTTTCCACCCGCCGCGCTCGATGCAACACGAGAGCTGTCATCTACACGGTAAGAAAAAAGTCACCATAAGTAAGCTCTTTTCACTCATTTCGGCAGAAAGCCCAAAGTAGGTAAAGCGGGTCAACCCATACCCCCTATGGACCTTACTGACTACCATAACCATTGCCATTAAAATTCTCAAACCATTAGTAAAAAGGTTCTAATATGGAGAAAAGAAGAATTTTGAATGGTAATGGTTCTTTACAACCCATTATTTGTAAGGTTCACTTCAAAAAAACCATAATACATGACTCATAAATTTCATGTGTACTTTTGAGTGGAATATGAAAATCATGTGGAATTTGACATGGAAATTTGTCCATAGAAATGTGTCGAATTTTTCACGAAACGAAAATCAATCATTTCATTCATGTGTTTCATTTATACATTTTTGCCAAAACATCAGCCTTATACCCCATAGGTCCTATAAGAATGCCAAAAAAATATGTGTGACCGCTTATTCATTTCATTTGACGCATGATATTCATTAACTTTTTGCAAGGCGTCTTTGACTTATAGAGGAAATGGCTCTAATGTTGGCCTATGGATCTAAGATTGGGCCACCGCTAAAAGTCTTCTATTTAATGTCCCAATGACGCGTTCATCTAAATAAAGTTGATAAATTTTATCAATTTTATCTAGATGAACGCGTCATTGGTACGGTACCAATGGATATTTTTGGTCGCTATTGAAAATTTAGACGGTTGCTGAATTTATGTATAGGCGCAAATTAGGGACATTTAGGCCGGCATTACATACATTGCCCCTACATTTTATGAATAATCAGCAATAGAAATTTGCCAAAAGGTTTAAGGATATTTCTATCCATGTAGGATTGTACTTTTGCTCCTTCATTTATGACAACGAAGAGGTGCCAAACCAGTCAAAAGTAGGTAAAAGTGTACTGGTCGCCGTGTATTTTTTTCTTACCGTGTAAAACCTAGCATGTGGATCACATTGCTGTCAAAACGGAATATTCAGTGCCATCATTTCATTAGGGCGAAACTGCTTTTGTAATCAATGACTTCAATAGCTGATTTCAGTGTCAACATTTCAAAGGGGCGTAATTGCATTTATAAACAATGACTTTAGCCGTCGATTTCTCGTGAATTAAAACTTACTCATGAAGATTAGTTACACCAGCAGGTAGAGGAATGTTTCCTTTACCAGCTAGCATTGTTAATTTGGAGGGATGGACTTTTATTTGCGAGAAAATGATAGCTACAGCCATTGTTTACAAAAGCAATTACGCCCCTTTGAAATGTTGGCACTGATTTCTCAAAAAATTATAGCTCGCTCCTACAAAATAACAATGTCTGGCATAGAAATCATTCTTCTACCTGATGGTGTCATTACTTTGCATGAGTTCGCTTTTGTTTGCGAGGAATCGACAGCTAAAGCCATTGATTTCCAAATATGTTTTGCCCTTTTCAAACGCTGACACTGGTTTGTGGATTTTGTTGACAGAGGAAATATATTTGAAATATTTCATGATTATGTTTTCTCACGATAAATAATTTAAATAATTTTATTTATTATGAATTAAAAATATCCCTGAATTTCAATATGATTACGATAATGTTATGCTTTATGTTGTTAATTTTTCAAATTGAACCCATATTTTTAAGATAATTATAAGATATTATTCTAATCCATGATCATCTGTGATGTGACCACCAGAAATTTTACCTAGCAACAAGTCAAGCAGGTCATGATTTTCAAAAGCAATTATTTTTTCACAATCGTCTGCTTTGCGTTGTCAGCTGATCTGCTAAAAGAAATGGTAACATTTAAATTACTTTAAAAACTGCCTCTCTGTAATAATCGACATTTTTACACTAGGCTCAATCTCGCAGCCGCAGTCGTACGCCTCCGCACAGCTACCGGAGGCGCAACAGCGCTGATTGTCATCAACGACGTCGGAGCAGCCGGAAGCATGGCAGAAGTTCGGCTCGGCGACACTATCGAAGTATCAGCAGCCCGAGAAGTATCGGCTCCACGTCCGGTTGTTCGTCGTGTCCTTCGACACCGAAACCTTTTGGTCGTCCGGTAGATCCACCGGCGAACAAGTGTCTGGGGGTGTTTGGTTTGAGTTCCTACACCAAGGAATCGCACCTGATGGACGTTTTCGCGAAGTACGGCATAATCGAGAAGGCGGTAATTGTGTACGATGCCAAGACGAAGATATCCCGCGGATTTGGGTTCGTGTACTATCAGGAGCTGAAGGCGGCATCGGCGGCCAAGGTTGAATGTAACGGAATGGTGCTGCATGAGAGAACCATCCGAGTTGATTACTCGGTCACGGAGAGGCCCCACACGCCTACGCCCGGGGTGTATTTGGGAGATAGAGATACTGGGAAAAGACGGTGCAGAAGTTCCTACAGCTATCGAGGACGGAGTTATGAGTAAGTAGCTTATTTTGGTTCGATCTGCACTAGCGATTTCATAGTGGGGACGGGTCTGGTAGTGGTTAGCATCCATAACTTTCACGCTGACGGTCACGTCACGTCACGAGTAATATATCTTATTCCCAGACAAGTCACGAATGACGACCTAATGCTATGTTTGCACTACGGAGTTTTCCCTGACTTGATGTATAGTTTTATAACTGTCAGGTTTTCGAATTCGTAGCAATAAAACACTAGCCAGACTTTGCAGTTATAACATGCTATAAGCCTATTTTGATGACATTTTTCTTGTCGAAAATTATTATAACATGTTATTACCATAGACATTATTACCTTGTAGTCTTAACAAGGCTTAATACCACGTTCAGAGTTATAATACGTTAGAAAAAAAAACTCATCAAGATAGGCTTATAACATGTTATAACACTCCAGTCTGGCCAATGTTTAACCCTTTCCTTCCCATGGTAGCACAGATGATCCACAATTTTTCGGTCCGTCTCTTGTTTGTCTATATAACATTAAATAGTCAGTACTTATTTAAGCTCCATGTGCTCGTTGTCTTCTTCCATATGTATTCTTCAGAATTAAACTGAGCCAATATAGAAAAACATTTAAAAAAATAAACTATTAATTTAAACCAAACACTATTTTTAATGATATCGATCATTTTAGAATGTTTGGAACATATTTTGTTCTAGCACTTTTTTCAAAAACATAGTTATTCATTTCAACAACGAAAACCCTGCTACGAAGGAAAGCGTTAAACGGAATCAAGAGGCAACTTCAGGGCTATTATAACAGGCGCAGATGTTACGATTTTCGCGGATTTCCCTAATAAATAAATACCATAAACGAACGATAACCCAAATGATTGAACTATTCCCAAAATGGTTTGGATGATACCCGGAACACGTCGTTAAGCAAAATAACCATAACAATTTTATTAGGGTTGTCACGGATTTGAAATTTCTGCCGCGTAAATCGCTGAAATTACAAATGATGTCGCAAAAATTGCGAAGAGACTAACTGCGGAATTCATTTTGACCTTTGCGTCCCGGATTATTTTGCTGTCATATTTTTTTGTTTATTTGGCGCTAGTTTTCTCAATTTACCACCGATTAAACCAAACACCCTGCAAAACATCGAGAAATTTTCAGAGTCTCATAAGTCACACTTGTTGGTCACGTCGGATTACCGGTTCCGGATTTACACGGAAATTCCTTGGGGTCAGTTCAATGGTCATGTGAGACATTTTCATGATTTTTTTTTATTTCTAATATTAACATAGCATTTTTAGTTGTCAAATCATAAAACATAAACGAATCGTATATATGCGACTTATTGCCATGTATACCGGATATTCTAGGGCCTCTAGGATAGGACATATTTCGATACTACAGACATTAGTCCAGTCTTGGTTGATCTAGTAGAACAAATCAACTGATGTCCAGGGCGATTTGGAGAACCTATATTTTCCGGTATACATGGTAATTAGCCGTGCATGATTCACAGCCTAACTTTTCAAAAGGTCCTATCTAACATTTCACTCTTTTCGAGAAAAACGAGGTTGAAGATTGACAAAATCTTTTTTGATACTATTTTAAACCAAATAAACTTTTGATATTTTTAAGACCTTTAATAGTAAAATGCGATAGTAAAATTGAAATTGAAATTATAATCTACCCGTTTCATGCATTTTTTTTTCTATGAAAACGTGAAAAATGTTACATACGACATTGATCTCTTGTCAGGTGTACATTGGACATGTTATATAGGACGTTTTGTTATAATCACAGTTACATAGGTCGTTTATGTTTTCAACATTGTTTGTTTCTAAGCATTATGAGTGCATAATTTAAGTTATACGAGTTAAACGAACAATATGAGTATTGGACAATGCATCAACTTTTTTTTAACGGTATATCGCAACACTGCCCACAGATTGTTTTGGTCGATCGTTGGTGGTCGCGTGAGCCGCTTTTTATTTGATAACAGTGTTATTTTAGGGGCTGTTCATTAACTACGTAGACAGCTTTTCGGTATTCGAGATTCTATCCGCCAGACTATGAATATAGCGACTATATTGGACAGACCCCAAGGAATTTCCGTGTAAATTCCGGAACCGTTAATCCGATGTAGCCAACAAGTGTGGCTTATGAAGCTCTGATAATTTCTCGATTATTTGCAGGGTGTTTGGTGTGAATCGGTAAATAAATTGAGAAAACTAGAGCCAAATGAACAACAAAATTTAGGATAGCAAAATACGTCAGGGACGCAAAGGTTAATTTACAAAATAATTTGCTTTTCAAATGAAAATGCATTTCTTATTTTTAAAACAATGTTTCAGTAAATCTAGACGGTTTTTTTTTTTCAATAGAATCTCATATTGTAAGGGTGTTTTATTATGTTCACTAATTACATATAATTTATTCTAACAAGATCATAAATAACTGAAGATGATACATCGTTATTTTTTTTAAGGTTACAAATGATATTCCTTTAGCTCAGTTGGTGAAGGCGCAGCAAGTGCTATGCTGGAAGCCAAAAACCATTTCACGAAAATCATTTCCCCGGAAACCATTTCCCGGAATGTACTACTTTCCCGATTTTTTTTTCGTTAAAAAAAAACAAGTAAATTTAGCGATTTTTCCCGGATAACACGTAAGCAGAACCAACTAACTAAAGAGAAATGAATAAAATTCCTTAATTTTAATCTAAATCAATAGACCTAAAATAGGGGAAATGGATGTAATGTCGGCCTAAATGCCCCTAATTTGGGCCCATACATAAATTCAGTAATCGACTAAATTTTCAATAGCGACCAAAAATAACCATTAGTACCGTCCCAATGACGCGTTCATCTAAATAAAATTGATAAATAGCAGATTTTTAGCAATGGGCCCAATCGTAGATCCATAGGCCAACATTAGAGCCATTTCCCCTACTTGAGAAATTCCCTACAAATTCGCAAATCGGTTTATTTTTGTATTTTTTGTTTAGGTTGAAATTTTGCAGAAACGTTCCTTATGACCGACAATGTCATTTTGCATCTTCATGTAAAGGGTGTCCACGATGAAATTGCCACACACAAAATTGATTCGCAAAATTCGAGTTTTCATCCGATTGCCATCAAATTTTCAGGGATTGAGAAATAACTATTAAACTTCATTTTACCATTTTACTCGTATTTTATTTACAGTCCATACGCAAATGCCCGCACCTTGGCCTTAACCCCGGCCATAAGATTCTGCACAACCTGTGAATCAACCGTTTTTTGCATGTAAACCCATACTTTCTTCAGTTCCTCGACTGTCTTCACTACCTTAGGTCGTTTAAGAAGGTGCTGCTTCATAATCGCCCAGTACTTCTCGATGGGGCGGAGCTCCGGAGTGTTGGGAGGGTTGAACATTTTCGGCACGAAATTGACCTTATTGTCCGCATACCACTTCAGCACGTCCTTGGAGTAGTGGCATGAGGCCAAATCCGGCCAGAAGATTGTTGGGACGTTGTGGGCCTTCAGGAGAGGAAGCAGCCGCTTCTGGAGGCACTCTTTTATGTACACCTGTCCGTTCATCGTGTCCTGGGTCACGAAAGGTGCACTCCGCTTCCCGCACGTGCAGATGGCTTGCCAAACCAGGAATTTCTTCGCAAATTTGGACATCTTCTGAGTGCGGACATGCTCCGGAACGCTGAACTTATCCTTGGCCGTGAAAAACAGGTTGCCGGGGATCTGTTTGAAGTCGGCCTTCACATATGTTTCGTCGTCCATGATGCAGCATTCAACTTTCGTCAGCATGTTGAGGTACAACTTCCTGGCACGGGTTTTGTCGGACTTGTTCTGCTTCTTGTCGCGATTAGGGGCCTTTTGTACCTTGAACGTTCGAAGCCCAGCCTTAGTTTTGGCCTTCTGGACAAAACTTCGGCTTAGGTGCAGCTTCTTAGCCACATCCCTAACGGAGGCGTTCGGATTTCGGTTGAAGGCCCCAACTACGCGGTTGTGATTTTTGGTGTTGTACGGAATACTTTTTCCTTCACTTCTAGGCTTCCGATCGGTGGTCAACCGTTCCTCGAACCGCTTAATCACTCGCGACACCGTGGAATTCACGATTCCCAACGTTTTAGCGATGGAACGATGCGAGAGATCCTTGTTCTCGTGATGAATGCGCAAGATTTTATCACGCACGAGCTGTTCTTTCGACTCCATTTCCGCGAGTTTTGATCACAGGACTTTAAAACTTGCAGGATGTAAATAATGCACTATGAACTAAATCCATCCAAATTTTCATTAAATTCTACCCAACGGTTAAAAAGTTAGAGCAATTTCATAGTGTGGCAATTTCATCGTGGACACCCTTTAACCATTTTGAATCCAGCCTTATTTTTGAAAAGAGCATATAGAAAAAAATATCACGCTTATCTTCAGAAAAATTTTACTCGAAAACTTTTTGCCCGATTAGTTTGGTGTCTTGGGCAATATTGCAGACAATAGATGAGACTATTTGAAAAAAAGCACCCTAATAAATTACCCAACTTTTTTTTAAATTTCAAATAAAATCTTAAAAACAATTTTTCTTAAAAAGGATTTTTTGTTTTTTTTTAAATTTATTTCTATGTTTTAGGGGACAAAAAATGCCATCTTTTGCACTATAGGTCAAGATGGAGAAATGATGGACAAAAAAGTTATGATTTAAAAAAAAAACTCAAGTTTTTGGAAAAATATCCAAAATTTGGTCCAATTACTTTTTCAACTTTATATATTGAACTAAAGGAACACTAAATTTACAATAACCTGTGTAAATTTTTGCTAAGTTGCACCGTTTTCGAGATGTAGCGGTTTAAAAGTGGATATTTTTAAAATGTTGCTAGTTTTTGGTCAATTTTTAAATGTATTTCGCGGTTCTTCAATTCCGACAATATCAAGGAAAGATCAGAAAATTTTACATTAAAATTTGGTGTACTTTCATTATATAAAGTCGAAACAGTAATTGGACCAAGTT